AATTACTTTATTATTTTGTTTTTCCAGCAACTTATACAATTGCTTTATTATTCAATTTTATTTTTAATCAAGTTTAGTGCAATAGTTTATTAGTTCACTGGAATTTTTTAGAATAGGCTCGTTCACTGTGCTATGAAATGTTTTGTTTTGAGAATATAATTATTTGCTGACAGTAAAATGTCACAGTAGTCATATGTAGCCAGTCAAATGTCGTGATACCAGCAGGTAGATAGGCTATAGATAATTAATATAAGAATATGTAAGGGAGATAGATAAGTTATTGATAATTAATGTAAGAATGTGTAGGGTAAGTAGATGCGTTATAGATAAGTAATGCAAAAGTATTTTGAGCAGAGATATTCCATATGTATGCATATTAAATAACTGTTGATAGCAAAAGACAATAAACCCTACTTCTTTTTGTTGTATTGAAGCATGAATTGTGGAAACTTTCTGCAAACAAATGTGAAGTGAACTTGACGATGTGAGATCAAGAACCCAACTAACTAAAGAAAACAGTATGTTATTTGTGTGTCAGTGAGTAACAACCCAAACATCACAATGCTTTCATCTTTAAAACAAAAGGAGAAGTTGCACTAAATGTTCTGGTGTATCTTGGTATTCAAAACATCACAACTGTGACACTTAGTAAAATGGTTCACAACCAACCTCTGGTCTAAATGAATGGATTGTTTTGTTTATTTCTAATTTTTAAGGTTATTGTTTTTCATTGCTTCAACTGATAATAACTGATATAATGCTGTGTAGTTTGGTATTTTCAACAGTTGGTGATTTTGTTTGTATTTCTCACAAATGGTATAAGTTTCCGTGTTGAAGATGAACTGTTCAGCCAATGAAATATTAACAAGTAAACTATTTTTAGAGTTACAACTGATTTAATTTGATTGTAAAGAACATGTCTGCTTACTAAACTGTCAGTTAAGAAAGAATTAGAGAGCTATAATGATACAAATACCTGTTGAGTAGGAGGAATGTTGAATTTATTAAGTTCTTTTTGTACTGTAGGAAGGAAATACATCTCTCCATTATGCTGCTGCAACTGGACTGAAGAAGTGTGTTGAAGTAAGTACTGCAACATTTTGGTTTTACACAACCCTATAGTTCACAGTGATGTGAACATGTATGTCTGTTTCTTGATACTTTCAAATCATTGCTACTGGTTTACTCATGGAGACATATTGTCATTTCACAGTTAGATGTTTTCAATGGTATATACATGCAAGACAATGATTGGTTATTGCAGAATGGCCTACAAGTATGCTACATGTTACTTTAATAGATAATTCTATACTTACTTAGAAGGCATTGTTAATAGCCTGCATCTGTTTAGGAAGTTATTTTGGATAATATTTGAGCTTCTTATGTTGTCCATCATCACCTGATAAGATCTGTATTAGCAGCTCAAAATGTCATCCAAAAAACTTTTTTGACAAATGCAACCCTTTAACAACACCATTCAAGTATACTCTTCTATGTCTAAACTTTCTCTCGAGGAAACCTCTTACTTATTAGATCACATAAGAAATCTGTTTAGAAACAAACAAAAGAATGAAAATGGTGTATGATATATTAAAAGAAAAACTGATTATTGTTAATTAGGAAAGTAGGCAATAACAAGTGTGTGTGTCTGTGTGAATTTCAGACATGTTAGAAGTAGAAGGTAAAATGCCAAGCCCTGAAAATTGCAAAGTTTTTTATGAAATATCAAATATGTTAAAAGAGTCATAAATTATGAAATTTGTCAGCTTTTTTAACTGTCTCACAATGTACTCTGTTGATTTGCCCGAGTTTGTAACCCCAAATTAACCTTTATAGTTTCCATACTATAATTTCTAATGTGTTTTGTGTACCTTCATGAAATTTTGCAAGGTTTCAGTAATTATTAAGGATCATATGTAGACAGAAAATCAGAATTTTTAATGAAGTATTTTCACAAATATTTTTTTCGTGAATAGGAATCAAAGTATAGGCTGCTCCTAGTGCAAAGTGATTTTTGTGTGAAGATTTAAAATACTTTTCTTCATGTGAAAAATCTCAAATTTTATTTACATAATCTCTAAAACCTTCTAAGTAAATTTCAAATATTTTTTTTCAGTAAAACTCTTTATTTTAACTATTATTTTCTCTACCCTAACTCTGTACAATTTTGGACAATTTGACAAACCTCATAACCACAAAAAAAATCTAAATTACCTTTTTTTTCTTTCTTGAATGACTTGAATACATTTATTTAGCCTAAATTTCTTCAAACTTGTAGCAATATACATCTGTTTTTACTTATATTTTATTATTTTATTGCCCTTTGAACCATAATTAACTGATATTCCCAACATAAAATATGTAAATCACTTCACAAATGTGCAGCTTATGTTACCTTGTCGAATTATATAACACATAAGGTTCTCATGTGTGTATCTCCTGAAGAACTTATTATTATTATTATTCTTTATTTTACTAAATATAATCTTATCAACCCAAAAAGTTTCTAATTTTTTACATTTTAGTTACTTTGATAATAATAAATAAATAATACACATAAAAAAACAAGAAATACAGTACTTAATTGAGCCTCCTTTTTTTTGCTGTCGTCTGTTGATGACACTTAACCCTATTTTTTATAGTAATAGTACTACTGCGTTATATAATTTTTTATTAAATTAAATAATGCACCAAAGAATACAGGATAATCCTATGTAAAATGCAGACAACATCCAATAAATATGCCAATTTTTCTGGCCTTCTAACTATGTGACAAATCAGACTCCTCCTGCCACACCCACCTGTCACATCCTCTCTAACAGAATTTGTTTATAGTTCTCTCATACATTTCATTTTATATTACCTATAACCAATAGAAAACCAAGGTTTTCATCTATCAAGTGATGTATTGTATAATGTTGTGTTCTGAACAGATACAAGCTTTGTTCTCATGAGAAAGTTAATGACTAGCTTGGATGAATTTGTAATGGCTCTTGTCGCATAGTTAGAAAGCCAGGAAAATTTTGAGGTAATTGAATTTGTCTACTTTTTGCATGTTATTAGTCTATATTTTTTTATCCATTATTTAATTCAAAAGAAATTATTAAGTGCATTACTATCTTTAGTATAAAAATGAGAGTTAACTCTCTTCGAAACCCAACAGAAATAAAAAAAGAAGATTGGTTAAGTATTTTATTTCTTGTTTTTCTGTTTATTCTTTATGTATAATTATAATAGTAACTAAAATGTAAAGATAGGGATTCTTTTAGGTTAGTTAAGATTAGACTAGGTAAAATAAATAATAATAATATTAGAATAAAAATGTTTCACGAGGCACACACGTGAGTAGCTTGTGGGTAATGTAATTTGTTAGCATAACATGAGTTGCACATTCCCTGAGTGATTTACAACTTATAATGGTACAGGTAGTAATTAGACATGGTTCAAAGGGCAATAAAACAATAAAATTTAATTATAAGTAGATGTATACTGTTATGAACTTAGAGCTAACTAGGATGAATGAATGTAGTTTAATGTTACAATTTGAAGTCATTCTAGAAAGAATAAAAGGGTAATTTAGGCTTATTTCGTTGTTTTTTTATTTTTGGTTGTTACGAGGTCTGTTGAACTGAACACTATAGACTATAGACTTAGTATTTTGACTTCACAAACATCTAATTTGAACCAGTGCTGCATTCAACATACCACGTGACACACAAAAATGTATGTTTATCTGTGGTTTTTTTTAATATTTACTTTTAAATTGAGAAATTGAGTAATATATAGCACTAAACTTTGAATTATAATCAACAGTTTGATACCAAACTTATTGACATAAATTCATGAAATAGTAGTTCACTAACATTTTGAATGCGAGTCAACAAACGAGATGACATGGCCTTTCACCTGTGACCCATCTTGAAAGGGTTAACTGAGCTTGTGTTGAAAGAGTTAAATGAAACTTGCTTTTCTAACAGTAAGTTACATTATAGCCATTAGTTTAATTGTATAAATACACAAAACAATGAAAGTATTTTAAGATGTATAAATAATCACATAGAAAAATTAATTAGGTTAAGAAAATGTAACAAAAATGTTTTTATAGATTATCCAGATAAAATAATTTTTATTTTTCCAATTATAGTTTAAGTTAAATAGAAGAAAATGTTTTGGCCCATGATTAGCAATTTGCCATTCTACCAAAAAGGCTGAAATTGTGTTAACATCTTTTAATGATTACAACACTGGAAGCAAACCTACTAATATATACAAGGAGAAATTTCAAGCCACAAATAGGTTAAAAACAAATGAATCTATTGTCTTTATAAGACCTATTAAAGCAAATAATGTCATTGTTTTAAATTAAACTGGTTACATTAAAAAAGGTAAAGAATATATAACTAGAAAAAGTAAATTACAAAGTCATTTACTAAATGAATATTATGAAATAAAACCAATTGGTTCTCTTTCTGCTATCATACATCTAGTTCGTAAGATACATAATAATTGTTGTCGTATTAGATCAATAATATTTGGCAACTGTAGATATAATCATGAACTAGCAGGGTTTCTAGTTAAGTTTTTAGAATCATTAATTAGAAATGACTATACTATCAAAGATAATTTTGAGTTTTCTTGAGATATAAAAATTTTAATAATGGAGTATTTTATGTTACTTTTTATGAAGTCCCTTGATCATTAAATATGACCATAAACTTATGGGTTGATCTTTTCTATTGAAATGACAATGATCAAATGAGATGTCTTAAGCATTTGTTTCAGAAACTGTGAATTTTACCACCAAAGAATCTCATTTTCTGTTTGACAGTGATATATATATGATCAAATTGATGATGTTGCTATAGGATCTAGATCAGTCCCGACATTCACATATATGTTCCTGTGGCACTACAAAAAAATTTTTCAAGAATGTTCTTCTCAGTTTAACATATTTCATGTGACTGGGTCAAAGTGCACATGTCTTGACTTTTTATAGTGTTACACTGAAAATGTAATTGACCAACATTATTATCAATGTATGGCAATAAAATTGGCAAGAGGACATAGTTTATGATTAAAGTTTTATATTATCTAAGTTTTGACTTAAGCAATATTTAAAAAATTTCAAACTTCATTTTTCTGGTTCACATGATGTATCTGAGCTCTAGTTTCTGCACTTCAGAATTTTATAGCTTCTAAAATAGACTGATGAAGTTTCCAACCAATTAGAAATTCAAACTATACGTAGTTGCAATCGAGAATCTAAAATATGAACCCCATTCCTTCTTTATTTGCAGAGAAATATTAATACCAAATGTCACACCAACTAGAGAAGCTCCTCTCCTATCTCTATCTTTCAAGATTTATTGCTAATCAGCTTAATCTATGTAAATGTTACAATTCTACATTCAGTTTTTCTGCCATTGTTATTCACTCTATGAGAATTGCTTAGTTTGTGTTGATCAGATTTGATGCTCTGAATGGTAATAGAATTTTTTAAAACTATTTATAGCTTTTTTAGAAAGCTGAATAAATGATATTAGTTTAGGAACATTGTTTTCTAGTGCTTGATATAGCTTTTCTGTTTCAAAATACATATAAGCTACATGAATTACTATTTTTTTCTGGACATTCAAATTTATGAGACTTAGGTAGAAAACTTCAAATATTTTTACTTGGTGCAAAGAACTCAAATACACAGTAAGTAACAGAAATCCTTTTTATATTAATTATTTATTTTTTAAAACAATTAAAATATGAAATTATAAACTTCTTAGGTTAGCCTAACAAAATTTAATTAAAATAAAATTACTCTAGCTCAAGTGCTGTTGTGAAATATGGCACTAGATCATGCACTTTATACATTAGCTCTATGGGAAACAACTGATGGACTCTTGCTGTGGCCCCCCAGTGGTATGTCTGCGGATTTACTACACTAGAATCCGGGTTTCGATACCCATGGTGGGCAGAGCACACATAGCCCATTATGTAGCTCTGTGCCTAATTACAAACAAACAAAGACTCTTGCTGTGATTTATTGGTTTTTAAGTGTGGCAGTAAAAACCATCAAATTTAAAGGGAAC